TTTCATTCAACTCAAAATCTAACTCAACTTCAATATCTTCAATATTATCAATATAATTAAATAATATCATCTCGTCATTCTTACACATCTTTTTTTTCCCGAAACGATAGAGGTACTATATTAATAAAGCCGCACAAAGTGCGAAAAGAAAGCAGCCAAAGGCTGAATAGTACTACCAAGGACTTAAAAACTGGGAGCAGATCCGGAGGTCGCCGAGAGCCGACCCCAACAGGGTAATACTCGGGAAACCACACTAAAACACTAAACCAACTACACAAACAAAACTAAAAAGATCCCAATAGGATAATACCCGAGTGTCTGATCCCAAAAGGATAATAAGTTGACACTCGGGTTCATCGGGCTCACAGGGGCAAATTGCCCAAACCAAAAACACAAATTGAACAACACAAAAACCAACAAACAAAAAACAATCCTAGAACAAACAAAACAACTAAAACTAAAGAAATACAACCCTCCCTCAGCAACACACACATCTGAAATGAACCGCGGACATAGACCGACCCCCTAGGAGAGATGCAAAGCAAATGAGCCACGCCCGCCACTGCCTAAAGCCTAGCAAGACGAAGACCCAAGCCCCGAAACCAAACCAGAGGAACCGACCCGCACTCTGACCGTAAACTGCCACAATCCCCTCAACCGGCTAACACCACTAGCCAATTCCAACACCAATTCAGACCCGACTAACACCACTAGCCAATTCCGAAAACGGCGGACCTCGCAATGACTCAACATCGGGGAAAAAGGGTGAAATGGTAAAAGTGGCTACAGAGCCCGGCTGCTCCAACCCCACCCGAACGAGCAACAAGCATCCCATCGGGTCCCCTACACAAACCCAAGTTGTCTCCCCTACCTCGCCGATGAACCAATAACCGGAGGTTACTAGACCACCCCGACAGGAAACGGAGATCCAGATTGAGCCCATCTGCGGAAATCTACAATGGGAGTCGTCCCTCCATAGAGGCGACGCAAGCAAACCAAGCCACCTCCACCCACTGGCGCCACACCCCACCAAGCCCCACCACACCAGATCGCCAGCGGGATTCACCAAGATGAGAAACTTCTGAACACCCGACCAGCTTCCCGCGGCTTGAGACGAAGGAGGAGTGGACCACGATCAGATCCATGGAAGTGAGGCAGAGTCTCGTCCACAGACAAGCCCGGACGGCCCGCTGAGAGAGGCGCACCAGCGAATTTGAAGTTAGGTTGTAGATGGGCGATTTAGGGTTTTTCTCTGTCGACATTCTTACACATCACATCTACTTTAATTCACTATGTATTTACTCATATAATTTTAACTAATGATTATTTCATATTATCTCTCTCCTACTTTTACATCAACTTTACTTTAAGTATTTTAATATAAATCCAAAATCTCACTAACAACTAGTCATACCATTTTTTTTTTCTAAATTAACTCTAATTAACCAAAAAAATCCACTTTGAGTGAAAATTTTTGGATAAAAAACATGCTCTGACATGTTTGGTCAATAGCTGGTTGATTTGTAAAAATACGATTAAAGTTATTAACTTACTTATTTTGTTATATAGATACTTAAAAAACAATTAATACCAGTTATATTTATGTAATTATTTTTGTATAAACAAAAGTTAAATCGATTCTGAAATTAAATTGAGTTTTTATCCTTATTATAATTAAAGTAAAATAAAAGAAAGAATATAAATTAAAAATATAAAAAGTGTGTTAATGTACTTAAATACAATTTGGTATTTGAGAATGACAAGAAACATTTTGTGTTTAAAATATTTGTATAGAATTAAAAATAATTAAGTAAAAGTAATCTGATTTTGATTTATGTTTGGTGCAACTAATTTGCACCTTGTGGTTTGTTTTCTCAAACACTTAAACTGCATGTAAATAAATTGGTTGGATATCCTAGCAAAAGGCTAATGAAAAAAGCTACTAAGAAAATCAGCTTTTCGGTAGAAAAAACTACCTGAAAACGCTGATGTTACAAAATAGATTATGTTCAAATCAAACAACCAAATATTGTCCAAACGCCAAACGCTGATAAAAAAGCTAGAAAACAAATGCGACCAATATCTAAGTTTTAATTGATTCCACTTTTTTGATCGATGTGTGTGGTTTACCGTAAAGTATTGTATGAATTAGCTCAACTTCCAATTTTTTTAATCTCGGTCACAATCTCACGGTGAATTTGATACTTGCAATTACTTGTAAACCCATTCCGCCACAAACATTCCACGTCTTGGATTGGTGGTCAAAGATGTCTACCATTAACCAATACTATGCTTGATAGCCAAAATGATTTTCGTTGTCTCAGCCTCAACAGTGGTGGTTGAACAAACATTTGGCGAGAGAGAATATACATTGGACGCACGTCGGTCTAGGTTTACGCCACAAAACTTGGAGGCCCAAATGATGCTGAGTGAAAGAAGGACGAAATGAGGGCCCCAAGACCATACTAACTGTCGAAGAGGATGAAGAAGATGAGGGATCCGATTTCACTGCTAGTACTAGTGGAATCGCTGAAAATGAAGAGTACAACGCATACGACAACGAGGACTAAACAGTATGTTCAATCATTCCATCTACTTTTATCAAGGTAAATCTAGTAAGAGAACTACGAGGACTTTGATTCCCGAGATAATGGATACGTAAGCAACTTAACTGACGTATTACAAGTTAAAATATCATTTTGTAACCCAAAACCTTTTTCAACCAAACTGACATTTTAACTTATAATATGTCAATTAAGCCCAAGTTCAATTTAGTTAAACCTTGTCCTTCCCCCACCCCCCCCTCCGAAACCCACTCTCTCAAGTTATTTTTAAATAAAAAATCGACCCGCCCGATCCGAAACCTGTTGAACCGACTGAACCGAGTTGAACTGGCTCCGACTTGCCGGTCCAATGAACCACCCGTACCTACACTCGGGCCGCTTTCGGGCCCGTGTTTTCAAGCTTGTCGACCCGTTAGGTCGTGACTGGCCCGCCATTTTGCCATGTCTAGGAATATATGAGAAAAAAGTACTTTATTAATAAATTTATGGTTAAATTAATCGACTAAACATCTAACAAGTCTTTTACAAAAATATACAGACCACGTAGGAAATAGACTCAGTCTAAAAAAATATTTACTCCAATGCAATTGGACTAGGTCTTGCTGATTTGACAGCAAAAAAATGAGACCCGATCTACCCCCTGAGTCTATTTTAGACTCAATTAGAGACTTACGCCTTGTTTGGCGATCAACGGATATCAGATAGCGGATAGCGGATTATATTAGCTTATTTGACCAGCGGATTGCATTAGCGGTTTTTAAATAAGTGTTTGGTAAATAGCTAAAAATTTATAGCTGTTTGACATTGCAAAATGACCAATAATGACATTTTATTATTTAGGGTGTATTCTTTTAATAATAATATATTAAAAATTTTGATATTCTTTAGTTGGTAATTTATAAATATATTATTATTTTTTAAAAATTTTACTAATACTTGATGAAGAAGTTATGAATTTTACATTTTTCTAGATAAATTAAGCATATATTATCACCATAAACCAATATAGATTGTAAAATAAATAATACAAATTAAAAAATTCCAAGTAAATGATTTTTGTGAATCCTCTATCCCAAAAAGCTGCTCTAATGAGCTTTTTCTAAATTAAAGTTTTGGGTCCAAAAAAACTTATCAAATAAGCTATTTACCAAACAGGTTCAATAGCGATTTTGACGGATCAAACCTCTCAATTAAGACCAATCCACTAATTATCTTCAATCCGCTATCTTCCAAACGGGGTCTTAGTCTCTTTGCATTGGAGTTAATTTCATTACTTTTCAATATTTCTGTCCATGTCATCTAAGACTTGAGTCTATTTACATGTGATGTAACAAAATTAGACCAAAACATTGTATATTATTGGAGCGGTCTCGTGTTCGAGCCCTGGAATGCAGCAGTGTTAAAAACTCTTGAGGGAGAGCTTTGCCGCCCTTGTGGTCCTACCCGACTCTATTCCGGATTAGTCGATTCCCCTGTGGACCCGAAAACCAGAAAGTCTCAATACCAAA